TAAACTCATTTGCAACTCACACTATGTTGTGATGTGATACATTGCGTAGCAGTGCCATTTCCCCATTAGTGACTCCTTTTGGTACTAATCAGAATTCTGGAAGGATCAAAATTACTTGAAAAACCCCTATTAAAGTATGAGCAAGAACTAGAGGAGTTGGTACTATCCTACATTGAGATATTTCTGTGCTTTCTTTCTGAAAAGAAGGATATTTGCTTATTAAAAGTACATTTTGAGGAGACCTTTTCATAGAAAGATGTATAATGACTTGCATGGCATTAAAGAGCCGAGCCTGGAAGCACTGAAAAGAGAGCTTTGTTATCCAACAAAGCTTTTTTAAGAAGTACATACAGGAAAATAGACTGAAGCACTAACAGCCTTATATACTGAATTGACTCTGATGGTGAAAGAGTGTTTATAGGTGGGGTAGTCATTAAGAATTGTATAATGAAAGTCATTGAAGAGGTATGTCTGGAAAAGAAAACATCGATAATGCCAGTTTTCTGCCAGTACAACTGCCAGACTGACAAAGGGAGTGGGAACTTGTTTCTCCAGCTCAGGAAAAAAGCAAGACCTTTGAATGGTTTTCATTAATACTGCATGCGAATACCAGTATTTTACACACATCAAAACTTTTAATTTCAGATCAAGGAACTGGTGCAGTATTATTGTAGTGTTAGCTACATTTCAGAATATGACAGGGGAAAAAATATATGACCAAATGCATTTTTCTTAAGTGTATGAAACAGTAAACTTGCCTCAGTTGTAATCTGAAAACTGTGAAATGTTGTGATACATGAAGCAGGGTAAGCAACCAGAGCTCATATCCTGCCTATTGCAAGGAAGTGCAGCAGTTAATACAGAACTTTCCCCATGACTCTTCACTGTATCAGTCATCTGCAGTCTAACCACTGTAAAATTTGGTTGTGGTGATCCATTATAAATGCCACTTCTGACCAGCATTCATTTCATTCAGAAGTGCAGCTTGAATCACTGCCACTGTCACCAAACCCTTTTCAGTTTAGAATTTAGTGATATTTTGTACTGCAGAGTGGTCTAGTTGACCTCTGAGATTAGGGCTTTGAACCAGGATGGTGTTTGCTTTTCTAAGTGTGACACAATACCTGCATTTTTCTTACAGAAAGCTAAAACCATAATTGTCTAAGCCTGAGTGGGTTTGACAATCTGGGGTTTTGGTAGCCGTTATGGAGTGCATCAATGATCTGGACCTAATGCTGGAGATAAAGTGACTTCTAGTTTGTGAGGTATTTCCTGACATTTATGCTTTTCAGTCAAAATGATGGATATTTTATGAGGCTGCTTAAAGGGGCCAACTCACACCTCCCTGCTGGCAAACATGGGTCTGAAAATACAAAATCATAATGCCTTGTGTTCATTGAGACCTTAGAGCGCTTTCATACACAATTCCGAGAGCAATTTCAAGTCTTTCTTAGTCATGCCAAGGAGATTGCTCTGCCAAAATCTGTATGAAGCATATAATCACAAGGACCATTTCATGCACCAGCTGCATTAGCAGAGTCATAAGCAAACAGCCCCTGAAAGATATATATGAACTAAGTAATCTCACCATGGGTTTCCACAGATTTTTATATTCTTTTGTAGATGTCCATTATGGTCCTTAATGATCATCTTGGTAGTACCTGGGACTGGACAGACTTAACTGAAAGAATGTTTTCTTTTATTTCAATTATTAAGACAGATACTGTCAACATATAGGGGAAAAGATATAGAATTTTACAGTATTAAATTCTTGGTCATTAAAATGGACACAATATTCTCAAGATGCAAAATCACCAACGTGAAGAATTCGAATGTTTAGGATGTGCAACTTTTTCCTCTGCAGTTACAAATGAGCATTTTATTTTCCTAAAGCCTGGCTTTATTATTTATAATTTTATTATTCCTTTTAAAAGTCAGGTTTATCAGGAGTTCAGCCCTTGATATCACTCAAATACTGAAACTTACTTGAACTAAACTCCTGTTAAAATTAACTGAAGTTTATATGAGCAAGAACTGTTGAGAGCTACCTCCTAATCTGCACCGTATGTTGGCATGCTTCTTTCTCGGAGATGTCATTTTGCTTTGCTTCCCGTAGTTAACATTTCTTTTACAGAAAAAAATGAGGAGAGGCTACAGATAGCCTAATGGATGGGAGATTGGTATCTGCTGAATTGCCAATGTCTGTTTAAGGGTCACCATCTTCCACAACTATGTATTGCCTTCTGAGACCTCTCAAAATGCTTAGCATTTTTAACATCTTTGCAAAATTCTCCAGTTGCAGAAATCACTCAGTGGGTATTAAGACTACAATGGATTTAGAACTGACTTGCAATCTTCCAGAAATAACTTTGTACACTATGGTAGATTACTAGCATGTTAACAATGTTTAGGAATAGTCCCATGAGGTGGGAGAGTCAGGAAAGATAAGATCAAGATAGGTCTCTCCAGGAAAAATTTATTCTCTTAACAGCTCTCACTTAGGTACTTATTTGCTACTGATCGAATCTGGTAGTTTATCATCAAACAGTAGCTTCTCTGTGTAATAGCTTCTGTATTTGATGTTCAGTGCGAACAACAAGAATGCATGGGAATATTTACTGAATCTGAGTCTTTCCACAGACTGGCTAGGATTTCTGGCACTGTAGAAAGTAAAGTAACCTGTTTCTGGGAAGTTTGCCTCTCAACCGTTTCCAGTGAGGCTATTACTGTGCAGTTACGAGCAAGTAACAGTCACTCACTGGTTGAGAGTTGTGTCCATGAAATGCTGTCCTGCTGTCTCCCTGTTTGAAAAAAATACAATTTCTGCATAACTCAAGGCACTTTCAACATGGTTATTGTGAGAATTTTGGTAGAAAATGCTTGATGATGTGCCACACAATACATGTGGGTTGGTTTGTTGTTGTAACTGGTTGATTTTTTACGGCTTTATTAGTCTTGTAAATTACCTCTTCTTTATTCCAAGGATGAGTAAGAGAAACAGTTCAGGACAGTTAGTTGAAAGCCCTCCATTCTGGAACAGCCTGCCTGTTACAGAAGGTCCTTCTGAAGTAAGGAGGCTGTTTTGTAACTGTTGGTTATAGAATAACTCCCAGGCAGTATACTTACAAAACAAGTTGGCTGAGGACACCAGTAAGCTGCCCTGGGTGGGGCATGAGTACAACTGCTCATGCATCAGTGAAGGAGCAGCGTCCATCCGTCCAGCACGTGCCCCTGTTCCACCAGCCACACTCGGAGGATCTCTGCGCCCTCTGGTGACCGACAACCGCGTCACGGTTTGCCCCAAAAACACACCGTGCGTAACGCGGCAATACGTGGAACCTCAGTCAACTGTAACGTCGGCCCATTTTACCCAAGGCAGTAAGAGGAGGGCTCCTGAAGGTCTGAGTTAGTATAAACTGCGTATTAATTCCAACTTTAACCGATTAAGCCTTTCAAAAGCTAATCGGTTGCATTTATGAAATGAGCGTCTTACAACACACTCGCATAACTAGAAACGTTTTCAAACGTAACTAAAACTCAGTTCTTAGTTGACGGAAGCTTCTCAGTCGCTCTCTTTATCCGCACCTCAGCTCACGGAGGGGGAAAGAACTCAAGCAACGTGACAGCTGCTGCCTTAACGTCGCCCTTCAAGGCCGTGCTCGGTGTGACGAGAACAACCCCACCAGGAGATCCCGCCTCTCGCACCGGCACCGG